TCTATGAAATTTTTCACGCCCAGCTCTTCAGGTTGTGCGAACATCAAATGAGACCCTCTGTGAAATAGCTTTCACTCTGTAAAAATACTGAAGAGGTGAAAGATTACATTATGATTGCCAAAACTTTAATTCTTGGCAAAGAAGTCAACAAATTACTTTTCTTAACTGTATTTGCAGATTTCTCACTTTGGGACTTGAAATGCTAAATTTCTGTCTGTAGTAAGATTTTTGGTTGATTTGTAAATTTAAAAAAAAAATAGTTTGGCTGATTTTTAAAGAAGACACTCTTGGCTATACTCACCTAGTGCATTACAGTCATTTAATGGCCTGTTGGTTTGGCTTTCACCTTTACAGAACTGATCAGAAATTAAAGCATCATTTTGAAAGAACATGAATCCCCTTTGTGTTTAAATAATAATATTAATAGAATTATTAGGAGAGTTTTCTTAGCAACCATCCCAGTAAGTCATAGGGAAGAAGAACCTGTTGTCCCCAAGGCAGCAAGAAAGTGACATCTGGGCAAGCCCTGGAGCCCTTGGAGGCTGTCAGCAGTAACTCCTCTTGAATTGCTCTTGGCTAACTTACAAATAGACACAATTAAACTAAGTATCCTTTTGTGAATTAGTGCTAATTAATCCACATATAGGCTTTGTTCTCCTGTGGACTCTCATGTTTATTTTTCAAAGTATATGCTTCAGATCTTGTGCTGTAACTTTTGTTGTGGTTCATATTTTCAAGGGCCTTTTCTTGCTTTTGGACTCTGTGTGTTGAGAGATAAGGGGGTGGTTTGTGTTGGCAGAGAATGAGGCTTCGAGCCTCCCTCGGTCCCAGAAGCTGTCATTCCTCTGTCTGTGTTCCGCTGGAGGGAACTATCCCAGAATCAATATTTGCATAGGAAAATTTCCCCCAGCATATTCTTACTCTGATCAGATAAAAGAATTCAGCTCAGAAATCTGAATAACTGCTTCCTCCTTGTTCGACCACAGGAGCTGTGCCACGAGGAGGCATGAACAGTTGCCTCCTTACGTATTCCTTGGCGTTAATCTTCATTTTAAAGGATCAGTAAAGCATTCTCTTTTAGGTGGCTAACTGTGTCAGACATGTGACTTCATGGGATGACTATAAACCCTCAGATGTCCAAGATGAAGTTTTTTTCCCCCAAGTGAACCCCTGGCTAAAATGCATTCTTAGAATCACATTTTTTCAGGATTTCGAAGAAAATAATGTTCTCTGTTGTAGGAGAGCACGCTCTTTCCCTCATTGTCAGTGTGCTGAGGGTGAGAGTCTACGAGAACTTGAGCGTCTCTTCGTTGTGCCCGGTGCTGAGCTACCTTTGTCACGTCCCTTTAACTCACTTATGTCTCTGATTCTCACTCTGATGAGCAAAGTGTAACTCTGGGCAACCAATTTTGAGGTCTTCAAAGATGTGATAAGAAATGTAGCATTGTTGTGGAGGAATAGAAATATAGAACGAAATTTTTATCCCAAGGGAGCTTTCAAGCTAATCTCTTCTTCTTTTGGTTCTATTTGCATGTACTAAGCCTTATGTCTCAATCTCAAAGAATAGTGTTAACTCTCAATCATGAGATTGTTATTCATTGTCCGGTATGTGCTTTGCTGCAGCATAATAAGGTGAGAAAAAGAAATGCCTAGACATCAAAACATTGTTGTTTTAAAAACAAAAACATGAGTTTAGTTGGCAACAATATTCCACAATTTAATTTTCTTTATTTTCTTCAAAACCAAGACTTTATTTAAAGAGCAAAAATTCAAATAAAGCATAAATTAAGTGCCAAGGTATGATTGGTACTTCATGGGGGCGAAGCTGTTCCACACCGGTACATTATCAGATTGCCCTCTAGGAAAATTCTTTCCATTGCAGGATGAGGAAAGACTTCTCGTATTATTTCAGAGGGCTAGTGGAGTCCCTTACTTCTACAGCCCATTGCATTTTTAAGTGGAATTTTGGGGTTTGTTTTGTATTTTATTTTCCCTTTGCATTTTTGCCTCTAGAGTTTCAGAGAAAACATGAATGCTTTTTCTTTATTCTTAAGTTTCCTCCTAATCGGGCAACAGTAACAGCAGAGGACCCCCTTTGAACCAGTGTGAATAGAACTTTCTTGCTGAAAATAGAAGAAAAGCTTCTGCCCACTTCCTCTGCCTTTAGGTGTTCAGCTGGTAGGAGTTATCCCAGTTCAGCCATGAAGTTTCACAGAAGAATTTCCCTCCCCTCTTTTTTTCATAAATGGTTATAAAAGACATAGCTCATAAACGTAGGTGTAGTCAAGTTGTGCCATTTTGGTCACTTGGGAAGACATTGTTCATCTCAGTTGATTTTTACAGAGCTCACACTGCAGGCATGGCATTTTTGGTAAGTACCTCACTGTGGGCATAAAAGGCATTTAAAAGCAAAAGGTACATGAAATGATATTTTTAAAAATACAGAGCAGAGAGCATAGTATTTAAAAAATACACAAAATAGTACAAACTGAGTCCAAAAAGTACAGTGGGTGGCCTCCCTGTCAGCGAGGTTGGTGTGCTTGGGGCCTGCCTTTGATGGAGAGGACGGTGCCATGGTGGGTGCAAGCAGTGACTTACTTTCTTAGGAGTCACCTCAATTGCTTCTTCTCTCTCATCTCCCTGCCCCGCCCCTACAATCCCATGCCTCTCATATACAGTTCATTGGCAACTTGTGTCTGTTCTGTCGTAAAAACACAACTCATATCCCCCATGTTTCTAGCTCATTGCCATTGTCATCTCTAACCCAGATGATGGCAATGGCCTCCTAACTGGTCTCCCTGTTTCCTGCTTCTCCTAAGTATCCTCCACTAAGCAGGCAACAAGGACTTTTGAAAATAGACATCAAACCATGCAGTTCCTGATTTAAAATTCCTCAGTGCTTCCCCATGTTCTTAGTCAAAAATCTGAATTGACTGTGGTCTATGCTCTCTCCAGGCTTGTCTGGTGTCCCCTCACCTGCCACGGGTGGCTCTTGTCTAACCCTCAGGTCTCAGCCCCAATATCACTGCTAAAAGAAACACCATCCCTGTCCTCCTCTCCACAGTGACCTCCCTCAGTTGTTTTCTGTCATTTCCCCATTTATCATGATCTTTAATTTCATTGTATTTTTAAAAACTCTTATCATAGTATTTCTTACTGTTACTTGTTGGAGCAGTAGTCCTTGTCCGTCAGCTGTCCCCCAGCTAGTGTGTGGACTTGACGAGATCAGGGGCTTCTCTGTCTTGTTCACTGTAATAACCCCAGTGCCAGGCACGTAATAGGTGCTAAGTACATATTTGTTAAAAATGGAAGAGCAAGCTGTCCAAGGAGAAAAATAATGAAATAAGTTTGGATCAGAGCTGGGTACAGTATATTTTGAAGTTGAATGTCAGTGTGAAGTTGGGGCTGAGGAGGAAGCTGGGGAGCTCAAGGAAGACCTCCAGTGATGAGCAGAGGGTTCAGACTTGATAACGATACAGAGGTCAAAGCGTGGCACTTGTTGGTGTATTGTTTGAGGCTAATGATTTAGCAGTTGTGCCGAAGCTGGACTATATTAGAGAGGAGCTGGGATAAGGGACCTTGTGGTAGGAGATTACAGCACCAGCGCAGAAAGAGTGACGCAGACTTGGATAGGGAGAGGCTGGAGAAATATAGGAGAAGAGGTGGATTTAAGACCACATAGTTTGGAATTTGGTGGTAACAGTGCATGAAGAAATCCAAATATAAAATATCGTGCTTCCTTCATTATGTAACACTAAACTATTAGCCAAAAAAACACACTTAAAAAAAAGAATGTTCTCCTCCTACACTGTTGGTGAGAATGTAAATTGCTGCAGCCACTATGGAGGACAGTATGAAGGTTCCTTAAAAAACTAAAAATGGACTTACCATATGATCCAGCAATTGCACTCCTGGGCATATATCTGGAGAAAACTATAATTCGAAGACACATACACCCCAATGTTCATAGCAGCACTATTTACAATAGTCGAAACAACCTAAATGTCCATCAACAAATGACTGGATGAAGAAGGTGTGGTGTATGTATATGTAGTGGAGTGTTACTCAACCTTAAAAGATGAAATAATGCCATTTGCAGTAACATGGATGGACCTAGAGATTATCATATTGAGTAAAGTAAGTCAGACAGAGAAAGACAAATATCATGTGATACCACTTACATGTGGAATCTAAAAAGAAATGATACAAATTCTATTTACAAACCAAAAACAGACTCACAGATATAGAAAGCAAACTGGTTATCAAAGAGGAAAGGGCAGGGAGGGATAAACTAGGGTTTTGGGATTAATAAACACATATTACTATATATAAAATAGATAAACAACAAGAACCTACTTTATAGCACAGGAAACTATATTCAATTTCTTATAATAACATATAATGGAAAAGAATCTGAAAAAAAATGTGTGTGTGTGTATGTATATATATATATATATATAATGTAACACTAAACTATTAGCAAAAAAAAATCACACTTAAAAAAAAGAATGTTCTCTTCCTACACTGTTGGTGAGAATTTAAATATATATATACACACATATACACATAACTGAATCACTTAGCTGTACATCTGAAACTAACATTGTAAATCAACTACATTTCAATAAGAAACATTTAAAAAAAAAGAGATGTTTTCACAAGAACTTGATAGAAGCCTTCATCTCTACCCCAGCTCCCCTTGGGTGAAGCTCAGTACTGACATGTTGTTGTCTCAGTGGGTTGGGGTGATGAGGAAAGTTGCGATCAGATTTCTCCAATGCCTTTGATTTAATAAATGAGAAAATACAGTGAAAAGCGCCCAGTGCTATTAGTTAAACTTTTGATCTAAATAATAAAAAAAAAACAGATATTTACATTTTGTGAATACCTAATGTAATTTTTTTCTTGTCACATTGCCATCTGAAAAGAAAATGACCCGAAACAGTTTTCGTATGGTGCGACATTTGTGTAATGTTGTTCTTTTTCTTTTCTTCTTTAAGCAGTTGAACGAGATGAAGACAACAATGGCAAACACGTAACTGTGACAGAGGCTGAAGGTGTTCCAGGTCCCCAGGTGTGATAAGTTCTGTGGCACCCCTCATCGTACTGTTCTGCTGTGTCGAGAGTGGTGAGATAGGGCAGGTGCTTGCAGATGATAGAGGTTTTACCTTTTGTGTTCTCAAAATAGTCATGTAGTGGGAATAAAGTACTTATTTTTGATAAAGAGATATTTCACAAGAGAGGCCAAAATTGCTCACTACATTTATGATTTGATTCATGGAAGGGTGGACAGATGCAGAAAAATACTCCACTTCCCAGAGAAAGCAAGCAAAGTCAGTGAAGAATCAGGATAGACCACCCTGGGGCAGACCATGCCCTGGAGCAGAGGAGAATCAGCCCGGGCTTGGCCAGACAGATAAGTGCAATGCCTTGTCTGCCTCGGTTTCTGTGCTGACCCCCGGGGGTCACCTTCTGGCTTTCTGTAGCAACTGACCTCCAAATACTATGGCAGCATAAACTTTGGGCAGTAGTGCTGTCCACTGTTAACTTTATGTAAAAGCAGAGCCCTTAAAGATTCTCGATAGGGACAGCAGGGAAAGAAGCAGAACGGGGCATGAAGACATTCTTTTGCAACTTCCCAGTAGTTAAGCTCTACTCCTCAGAATTCCACCTCCTGGACACCCAGCTGTCCCATTATGTGACATGGCTAAATACCTGGCTACATTAAGTAGTGAATTTTTAACTTGTGAGTTTTAAATGACTCATCTCTAAACCTATCTGATAAGAGACTTATGAGGATTAAAAAGAGAAGTATGTTGAATAAACAAGCCACGAGACTTTATTATGCCTGAGAACAAGAAAACAGTGGGTCCAGGGGAGTCTACTACTGGGAAATCAGTCATGGTGCGTACAGAGCAGGAGGTTGATGGAACTGCCCTGGTGAAGAATCTGACAGACTTGACTCTCAGGAAAAAAGGGGTGGAAAATTCTGAAAGCAGACAAGCCCTTTAGAGCCCTCACTTCCTGCAGGGTGTTGCTCTGTTCTACTAGACATTACAGAGGAAATAGCCTTTCAGGATTATGGTGATGGTGTCATGATGTCATGCAGGGCCAAACTCATCAAAATGTATACATTAAATGTGTGCGACTTTTTGTATATTAAGCAAAAGCTGAAAAAAAGATTCTTAGCTTGGTTGACCCATTGCAGTTCACCTTTAAAGTTGTAAATCTGTTGATTCTGATCAGAGTGATCACATTAGCTTTTTCAGTCGAGATTGCACAGGTTGTCATGTTCTAATAAGTTCATATAAGGACTTGATTGGAATTGTTTTGCTGTGGTAATATTCAGGATATGGTAGCCCACAAGTTCATACTGAAATTACACTGCAGACATCCGAGGAAACCTGGGCAGGGATTCCTTTCTCAAAGACTTCTTAAAGCATTTGGTTGTTAGTGGGACAGTTTCTTTATTATTTAGTTCTAAATTTAAATTGCTCTTCTTTGTTTTGGACTTACTCTGTGGACAAGAGTTGGCTTTAATGCAGTTTTACTCCTCTGTGTATCTCAGTCGGATCCACAGACCTTGCTCTTGGAGATTTTGGGGTTTTTCTCTAGCAACGGTGACATAACCGCATATTTACAGAATGTACCGAGGACTAAAACTGTGAAACCAGTTGAAGCCAGCGAGGCAATAATTAGATCAGGAAAAGGTTCTGTTTAGGTTGGAAAGTCATGAATGAAGTTCACTGGGATGCATAATTATGAGTGCTGCAGGCTGAGACAGCTGTCACTCCCTCTGATGTGTCTGAGAAAGCTTGATCTGCTCCTCCCAGTAGAAGTGCCACTTTTCTTGGTTGGATTCTGCAGGTCCATCTGTCCAAATGCTCGGGGTAGGATCACCAGTGGTTCAAGTCATACAAGGTGAGCTGAAAGGAGACTTTCAGAGTTTCACCGTCCAGTATCTAGGCAGAACTAGAAACAAATGCATGCGTGTGCTTGTGGGTGTATACCTGTGTGCACTTTACACAACAATGTATTAATTTGATATTTGATGTATATGCATGTAATTAATTGAGCTCCTATATGCCAGACTCTGTGGTGAGTATTTCACATGATTGCAGTCTTCATTCCAGTGTATATTTTAAACAAGTTAAGTGCAAGTTGGTTTTCATTCCTTCCCTGCACATGATGAAGTACGTCACTGTGGAGAGGGTGCCCTGGGCTGCAGAAAACCTTGGCTGTAGAAAGGGTTAAGACAGTCACTACCCCCAGAGAGGCTGCGCCTTGTTGTACACAGGTTCCCACCCACCAGGAAGCTCTAGTTCTCCTCTCATACGTTGGTACCTTTCTTCCTTTTCTCACTAAGAATATCTTTTCTGTCTAAGAAACTTCCTGTTTTAGTGTAGGGACGTGTGGGCAGAGTGAAGAATGGAGTCAGGGATTTGTGTCTCAGCCCTTCTTCCTTGTAGTTGGTGCCTGTAGGCAAGTTCTTCAGTGTCTCTAAACCTGTAAGTTCCTGTCGGGTGGCATCCATGTCTTGGTCACCAAAGTGTCCCCACCATGCTAGCCAGTGACTGGCCTGCTTGATTTTCATCTCTGTAAAGTGTCATGAAATGAACATAAAGCAATGCCTGCCATCCTGGTACATAAAAGACTTTGGCTGAGTGTTAGGCATTTCCTTGAGGTTAAGAGGCTGCCTCCTGGGCCAGACCACCCACTCCTTCTCTTGTCTCTGCCACAGCCACCTCAGGCAAGTCACCCTGCTCTCCTGTGCCCCGTGTTCCTTTTCTGTCAGAGCTGTGAGAGGTAACACTTAGGCAGCACTTCAAATGCCTTAGGCAGTCTTCTGAGCTCTTTGTTTTTATTAACATATTGAAACCTCACAACAAACCCTATGAATCAGATAATATAATTACCACCACTTTACAGAGGAGCTGATGAGTGGTCGGGACGGAAATCCAACCAAGGTAGTCTGGCTCTGACATCCTTACTTTTAACCACCCTGCTCAACTGCCTTTCTAATATGTGTGAAGTAGAAATCATTGTTGGGTGGTTTTGAGGATGAAATGAGCATCTGTGAAGCAGTCAGACCGTGCCTGGCACGTAGTAAGTACTCCGAAAAAGTTAGTCTCCAGGAGCCATTATCTTTCTCATCATGATCATCTGTCTGTCACATTGCTTTTGGTCTTAATAGGTAAGGTATCTGACATGACTGGGCTGCAGTTTTACTCTGTCTCCCGTTACGGTGTCTTCACATAAAACACTGTAGGCCCTTCACTTGTTAGAACCCTTTATACAGGACTAAAGGGTTAAAGAATCTTTATCAAAATGTGCAGAATTTTTGCCAGGTTCTAGTTTAAGGGTTATAATGAGATGTGCAATGAGCAATTTATAACATTTTGAACTTTGGAAATTTCATTCAGGTGGCTATTGACCACTGGATTCAGTGATTATTTTCATTCCTATTGGAATCAATCATTTTGATATTAAGTGATGATAACTGTTATGCAAATTGATTGTCAACTATTTTACGATTATTTTATCAATAGCCAAAGTGTGAGTTTCAAAAAGCAGACTGAAGAAAGCTCTTTCTTAAGTCTGTGATAGCAGTCATACAAAACAGGTGATCCTTTTAAATCCTTTATGTTAGAATTTATTAAAATTGCTTATTCTCTCTTTGTTTTTAAACTACATTATTATTTGCCAACTTTGCTGCCCTGCTTGGCAGAATGGTCAGTATTGTATACAGATCTGAGCTGTAATTTCCTTCAGGTCAAACCATGGTACAACATTGGTGACCTCCCTATTCTAGTCTGAACGTTCAGAGAATCAAATATATGATAAATGAGCCCCTTACTTCATCAATTGCGTAAGCATATAATGTGTTTATTTTCACTTGAAGAAATAATCATGTAAGTATAATGATTAAGAAAGTATGTGCAGGAAGTAACATAAACATTCCACGTAACAGTGGTTTCTGCCTCCTTCCCTCCCATACTCTAGCAGAACACGGTATCACACAGTGTTTGCCTAGGACAGGTCTGCCTGACCACTGTGGTGTGTTAACACAAGTCATTCCACAAGGGAGGAGAAACAGAGGAAGGAACCTCCCTGAACTTGCTTCGCCTCTCCTGTCCAGTGAGGGACTAGGAGTCACTGAATGAGGCTCTCTGATGCCCCGGCATGGGGATTGAGGCCTGTACTAGTGGTGCCCCAGGCATTAGTAAGCCTGCCTTTATGTCACAGTTTCTATCTTACGCACTTTTCCCTCTGCGCGCATCTTGATCCTTCCCCCAATTATCAAAGGGTGTATTTTTCTATTCCAACCAGTAAGAAAGTTGTCATAGTTTTCTTCCTCTGAAGAAATTTAAGAAAATGAATAATAAAATGAAATTATCTCATTATCGTTATTATTATTTTATTATTAATTGTCTTCTGAATTTTCCTGGAAAGAATTCTTACTGTTTTCTGTGTTAGAAACAGGCACATACAATTTAGTAATATAATATAGCATCACAGCCCATCAGTGTTTTATTCTGTCATTTGGACTTTCTGTATAAAATAGCAAAAAAAAAAAAAACTTGATGAATTGCCATTCAGGATTTAATTTTTGAAGAAGTGAATCAACTATGTAGTAATCAGTAAGAATTTCCCCGAATACCCTGCATTTGCATTAAAAAACATTCTGTTATTACAAGAGTGCTTTCATGAGAGGTGGACTCTTTTATGCTGGTTTTCCTCCCCTTGATAGCGGTTTTTGCATGAGGTTTTTTTGTAAATGTTTAGATAAGGTGATTTTAAGGTTACGATAATGCAGAAAATGCTTCCAGACACAGAACTGTGCTCTTTCACCTCATGTCATAAAGGTTGCTCATTTATCATACTTGTCGCTTTTCTGAAGGAAATCCTGTCCAAGTTTCATTTTACTATGGACAGAATGGACCGAACATTTTTATGATTCCATTTGTAAAGGAAACTGACTTTGCATTTACATTCTTGACATTTCTCTTCTCAAATGCTGGAAGTCATATGAATAGCTTTAATTATGCATTAGAGATTTTTTTTTCAAAGCAG